TCTTCCTCTTTGTTTTTTCTTCTCCCCAAAGGCCCCCAGTACATAGGTGTATATTCTAGTTGTAGGTCCTTCTGATTCTGCTATGTGGGACACCAACTCAGCGTGGCCTGATGAGCGGTGCTAGGTCCACACCCAGGATCCGAACCGGCGAGACCCTGGGCCACCGAAGTGGAGCGCATGAACTTAACCACTCAGCCGTGGGAAAGGCCCCCTGCCTTTTGTTTTATATATAAGTTTATATTTCTTTTTTTAAGCTCAAGTTCTCAAACTTACTTGAGCACAGACCCAGTTTTTCAAGGAATGCCTTGTAACACCTAAGAGAATGAAAGTTTCACTAAGCAGTTTCAAAAAGCCCAGTTTCAACCGTAGGTCTCAGTGAGGCACAAATCTATGTGCCTATCTATTCAAAATTCAACGTTTTAATAGAATACATGGCAATTCACCAGGGTTCTAAAATTGATTGCTGATCTCTTAGTCACACTCATTTATAATATATGGTCTAAATAGAAACAAGATACTGAAACTGCCTGTCTCTGAAAATAGAACAGCTTGCGTTTTGTCTGGGATTTCACTTTTGCTTTGCTTTGCTTTGCTCTGAAGCTTGCCGCTTTCTGGTCACAGTCCTCAGGAGGGAGGACGTCTGTGCAGCCTTGGGATGTGCTTTACGTCGCTTAACCTGAACACTGCTAAGAATAAGCCTTGTAATTGACACACTCTTTTGTTTGGAATGAAACGTCTTAGAGGAAAATAGGTTTCCTTTAAAACTCACTATACTCAACTGTGAGAAGCATAGCAAAGGTTGAATAATTACAATTTGTCTTGTGAAAGAACAAAAGATCGGAAGCTAGGGAACATGAGTTCTGGTACCAGGATGCTGGTAACAAGCTGCGTGAGTTTGTCATCTCGTGCCAGTGGCTGCTGAGGGGATCTCTTCGCAAAGAAGGCTTTCTCAGCCTCTTTTGATCAAGGCCAACGAATTAGGGCTCATTTCCGGGTTTGATAGATTACACCATTCAGACTCTGGGGGCTAGCTTCTCCTAATGGACAACAAAAGCAACCACTAAAGCTTCCTTTTATGAGAGAAAAGATTTATTATATTGAACAAAGTAAATTCATATTAAAAGCAAGAGGAAGCATACATCATATTGAGTCTGGATCCTTTGAACTGCCAGATTATTCCACCTCTCCTTGAATTCTCCCTCACTGAAATTTGACCCCTGATTACGCTCTAGATCCCAAAATGTCTGAGTTTGGCAATGGAGCTTGGAAGAGGGGATGAATTCTCTATTCTTTAGATAAATGGAGAACTCTGCCTATGAGTCATCAACTCCCAAAGTTTTTTCTGTGGCTCTGTTTTCATGGTTTCTATAATGAATGAGATTTTGAAGCCTATTACTGGCTGAAACTCCGATCAGCTTCAAAAGTACCCAGGTCTATTATTGGCTTCAAGGGCAACTTTGGATGGCATCACGAATTGGAAAGAGAAAACGGAAGTGGAAGAGAGTGGCTGCAAAGCACAAAAGTATAAATATTAAACCAGCTTTCCTCAACCAATACTCTGGGGCATGTCACTTCACCTCTCAACACTTCTGTTTCCTTCCAAAGTTGGATGAAATTGGAAAAGATAATCTCTTACATTCCTACCAGGGATAGGAAACACACTCAAATCGTTGTATGGATGGAGATTAAAAGTGCCTTAAATAAGCTTCAGTTTGAACCTGAGCCTTTCAAAGCTTTGTTTTTCAAAACAGGCTGAAAATTAGCCCAAGGGGATTTGCTAGTTGACTTCCTGGAAAAACAACAGTTTAAAAAGCTGTTGACAATATTGGAAAACTCATGGTAGATTAAAATATTGTGTCTATGTCAAGTGTCAAATTTACTGAAATTTATAACAGTACTGTGGTCATTGTCTAGAAAGAAGTCCAATCTCAGAAAATGAGGAGTTACAAGTTTCCAAAGGAGATATCTCAGTGAGCAAGTGGGTTGGCTTGTTACAACTCTGTGGGCTTCAAAAATAGATAAGGTGACTCAATGGACCAGAGAAAATAGTTTACTACTCACAGCACAGAAAACAGCAGGAGCATCAGCACATGAGCACTGGTTCCCTTGCCCACATGTCCCATGATGCAACACAATGGACCCAGATTGCTGCTACGTACACAGTGGATTGCACTGCAGCAAAGCAGCCCAGAGCCAGGGCTTCAGCACATTTTGTAGCAAGCAGTAAACAAACCAATCCACTTCTCCCAGGAGCAAACAATCACAAAGTGATCGTGCTGTGGTTCCCACAGTGTTTGGACAGCAAAGGTTCTTAATTGACTATGTGACTCCAGAAATGACTCAGTTAGAAGATAGTTAGGACTTGCAATTCAGCTCAGTCAGCAAGATTTTTCCGGGATGCTTGGTGGACGCTCTCTCCCAAGAATTCATCTGTCAGCTCAACATATTTTTGGCTGCACTCAATTTTCATGTGATTATGCCACCCTATCAGCAATTTGGGTTAGACATACTGACAGGGCTAGGACCAGATCTCTTCTATTAATTTCAATCAATACTTGATTAGGGTTATTGTCCAAGGAATCCCATCCGTAGGGTGAAGTCAATCTGTAGGCAGTGAACAACTAACTGGATGAGGGATCATAATGAGGCTGTCACTCTGTCTAGGATAGACCCTGTCTATAGCATCTTCAGCCCTCAGGCTTTGAGTAGCTTCCTCCATGGGATTTTATAGGATTTTATTGGCCTCAAGAAAGTCTCCTTGGGATAGCCATAATATAATCATTGAAACAGAAATCCACATTAGCAAACCTCATTGTGGGGCATGATTCTGTAGCATTTAAATAATCTTCATAGTGACTTAATGCATGGGTTGTCATGTGAGGCAGCCTAGGTGCTTCGTTTACCCTCTAAATGCATAATCTTCCTCATTCCCTCATCAACCATGTGTCTAATAGCTCCTCAGTCTGTTGGTCAAAGCATCCCTGGACTTTCTTCCTTTCCCTCTCACTGTGAGTGTACATTTTCGTACTCACTATGGGGGCATATTGCCCTCTAGATGTTTCTAGTTGCGACTTGAACTGGGTGAAGTTGTGCTTTCCTCCCTGGTGGGGCTTAAAGACTTCTCCTAGTCCCGTAGTCCGTAAGAGAGCCAACAGCAACCATGGCACCATTTGGAAGGCCAGTTAGATTTTATCCCTCACCACTCAGCCTCCATCCATTGACTCAAATCATGTTCATCAACAGGTAGGACAAGAGTGGACCATTCACTCCCCATCTTTCTGTACCACTTGGGCCAGAACATTTGCTGCCAGCTCCCAAGGAGTTTCTTCATAGCCTCGAATCTCATCCATGAGCACTTGCCTTTTCTATTCCAAAAGACCGTTGTCTGTCTTGGCACCCTGCTCATTGTGTCAGTTTGGGAAGAACATCTGCACTTAGAAAATGGTAAGAAGTAACAAGACTCCAAAGGAGAAGACTGAGCAAACAAGCAGGTTGTCTTGGCACAAGTCTATAGGTGGCAAAGTAGACAAAAACTCAGACAGCTTAGTGTTCACAGCACAGCAAACAGCAGAGGCTTTAGCGCATTAGTGCCTCCTCTGCCCTCAGATCTCACTGGGCGATGCAGTGGGGCCGGATGGCAGCTACACACATAATGGCTGCACAACTACAGATGGTTATACACACACTCGCACACACAATGGGTTGTGTCATAGTTAAGGAACTCAAAGATAAACTCGTAACCCCTTTGGAGGCAAGTAATAAATGAACCTCCCCAGGAGCAAGCCGCCAGACAGTGATCAAAGCTGGGGTCACCTAAGTCTACTGAATCGCCACGTGGCTGTCTGCAGAAGCTGTTCCGGATCAGAGGACAGTTAAGCCTTGCAGTTTGGCACAGTCAGCAAGGATGTGCAGGAACCTCAGGGCCCATGGCAGAATGTCTCTCCCATGGTGATTACGATCTTTCTGTTCCTTATTCTTAGGAAAAATATATTGAAATATTTGGAGATAGAAGTTCATCTTAGTATCAAATTATTCGTTTAGATAATATGTATATGTGTGTGGGTGTGCATGTGTGTATGTGTAGAAGGAGAAAGAAAAAAGAAGAGAAAGCAAATGATAAAGAGAATGGGTAAAATGTTAATAGTACATGGATCTAGGTAAAAGATACGGAAGTGTTCCTTGTACGATTCTTATTTTTGCACTTTTCCTGAAGTTTGGACTTTACCAAAATAAAGAAAAAGAATGTCTCATCCTTTTACACTTACTATACAAACGCTTCCTTTTCTTCTCACCAAAAGTAATAATAACAATTACAGCAAGGATTATTTGTTAATTACAATATTGTTTGATTTCCCTAATCCTCCTCCCTTATTTGAAAAGGAAAGCCACACTTCACAATTAAGTCACATTTTTTGTGTGTGAATAAATGTCATGTTATTAGCTCAACATATATGCTAGCTTTACAGTAGAGGTTGGGGTAGGGAAATCCCTGTGCTTCAAATCAGTTGCTTCAGAAAAAATTCCAATAATTTTGAGAATTGGGTGAAAAATAAAGATTTTTTTTATCTAGAAATAAAGAACATAAGAGGTATTGCAAAAAAAAAAATAAAAGCATTGTTTTACTTTTGACGTTTTAGCCAAGTCATGAATAATGTGAGGATAAAGAGGGAGGAAGAAGGTCAAAGACAGGGAGCTGAGGGGTTTGGGTTAAAATATAGTTTTTCAAGGAAGCCATCAATAATATCTCTTTGATGACTAGTATGTAATTCTTATTCATTGGTGTATACAAATGGAATAGCATATTCATAACAATCCGAGAGATTATTCATAATAACCCAAGAGATTAATTAATGTCTTGACATGTAGGAAAAACTTTGAGGGTTGCAGGTGAAAATATACATTAAGGTCCTCAATACAGGTCTGACACACAGAAGACACCCAATAAATGTGTGCTACAACCAAATCTGAAATCCTCACTGTCTTTTTTCTTTCTCTTTCAGCTAGAAAATCTGGAAGCAGAAACTGCTCCGTTGCCCTAAGTGGGTCTCATGCCATTCAGAGCCTCACTGAGCTTAAAAGCCACCATATATTTGGAAGAAGATTGCTGCGAGAATGTGTGGGAGGTTCTAGTTTCCTAGGAACATGCTTGCTTCTGAGTCATCAAAACTCTTTCCTCTCTGGCCACTCCACTCGGCACATTAGAGGGACATCCAAACTAAATCAAGCACTGGGAAGGAGAGGACTATATCACACTAACGAGTCCACCTTGCGTACCTAATCACGAGGAAGATGCCCAATGGGACCAAAACGCACTGTGGTATGTGAATTGGGGTCACATGGAAGATGACCCTTCTGTATATAATATTTCGTTTTCAAGCAAATATTTATGACCTCATCAAAGAAAAATCATTGATTGTTAAATTCACCATAGTAACACGTAAAGTAAATGCTACCTCTGATCAAAGCATCTTGTGTGGAAAGTCCAAGACTTTCTAGTCTTCTCTAAGGGAATACTTGCTCTATTTTTCACCTTTAACGTTAACCTTAAAATCGTCTTTTGGTCAAGGCATCATTTCCACCTTCATTTCTTGGTTTTGTATTTTTTAAAAGAATACCTAGCTCCAAAACTGCAAGGGAAAAGATAAGATGAAAGGTAATCTGAAGCATGGTAATATGTCAGCTTCAGAAAGCTTGGTTCTTGTGCATTGCAAGTACTTCCTGGGAGTCATAATGGGAGATTTTTCCATTGTTAGGCTTGCAGTGATTTGCTCCTCAGTTTTAACTGTTCCATTCCTTTGCTCCCATCTAAGTATTCACAGAAGGTGACAGTGGGTCAGTGAACTCATCACTTCTACACAGGAAGTCAAGCATTAAAATGCACTCTTCATTTCTCAGTAGTTTCTCCACACTGCATGCTCCCTTTGCATATTATTTTCCTTTTTCTGACTCTGCTCAGAACACTTATGCCTTTTGAATAAGCATGATAAAATGACAGATGCTTTTGTTGACTTTCAGAACAGTTTAAACTTTTTTAAAAATATAGATGCAATAAGCTTAATTTCAAAACAGAAAGACTCAAATGACCATAGATAAAAACGGCTGATCTACTTTTCAATCCTCTGTAGTTACTTGGACATGAAATATTAACAATGACCCCAAAATATTTCCCCAGAATATTGTGTTTATGTAATGTCATCACCAATATGTTGGTCTTTTTGATCTTTGCTAAATGTCAAGATTTCATTTGTAAAATGTCAGTCTTCTAAGTAGTTTCTTTAAGACAATCCTCCTCTTTGACTGGTTTTCTTTGGTATAAATATGGTAGAAATTTGCCAATCACTCATTTTATTTGATCTATGTAGACAGTCAAGTCAAATGGCACATGCCAAAAAGCTTTCCTCTTTGAAATTCTGTCTGCATTGATTAAATGAATCATGCATATTGTAGTTATTTATGAAGACGCAAGTAGAAAACAGGGTAGTATCTTCTGTTATAAGAGTATTCCTGAGTCTGCAAGCTGCCAGAAGACTCAACCTTAAATTTGTATCTGTTCTTCAATTTAACAAGGCACAGTAAGCACTGGACACCCGAAGGCAATGTTTCAAGAAGACAACCATTGCAGACCAGAATGAGCCAATTTACTGTCTCAGATCCAATTGGCTGCAGTCACGTGGACCCAACACATGTACCCATTGCGTGAGAGAAAAACAAAAACTAAGATAAATGTTTTCATGTTTCCTTCTGATTAAGTCTTATATTTGCCTCTAATAACCTCCATTTCTCAAATATTATGTCCCAGAATGGATATGCATTATTTTTAATATTTGTTCTGATCAAAGTAACTAAAACCAGGGCCTGAAAAAGCTTTAAAGTGTTAAATAGCTGCATTTGTGTGCAATACTTTTACAAATATATACCTATATACACTACTAGAGCTTCCACAGGTAAAAGGGATAGTTCAAATGAAACACAATAATGAAGAATAAAATACTTGTATATCAGTCGCTGGGGAGGAAAATTCTTGTCTTTAATAGGTTAGAGTAACATGAGTTCACTCGAGGGATGACGGAGTACTGAGCTCTGCTCACAAGGCTGTTTCTCAACCATTATTGTTTCTGCCTAATCACTTACTCTTTGTTAAGACATTCTAAAGTAAGTAATAAATGTGTTCTCAATATTTTTCATTCAAAACTATTTTTTATCATAAATTTGCTAGATCTTGCAATTCTATGGCAAATAGAGAAGGAACAGCCCTAACCCCGTTGGATGGGCTAAAGTTTCTTAGAAATCTGAAGATAAAGAAAATGTAATGTTCTGCTTTGTTCTTCCTTTTTATTTCACCCTCATCCTTATGGATGGGGTTTCTTCCTATCTGGCATCCCAGTAATGCAGACTGTAGATGTGAAGCGGAAATTTGGCTTCTTCACCTGATTACTTGCTGTGGAAATTCTAATCCCAAGTGGGTAATGGCCTTTGCTCCTTTAGTCTCCACCTTCACTGTCATTTTGCTCCTGCATTCTTCTTTCCCTGCTAGTCCCTAGAAAGCAGAGAAGAGAGATGAGACTCACCTAAGGCAAAAGCGAGTTACCTGGAATCTACTGCCAACACCCTCACTGTGGGGTCCTCTGAAGGAGGTTTGATCACACTTTTTAAAAAAGTCTTTTGCTGTGATATTCCAGATCCACATTAACAATTTGATGATGTCAAATAAAAGAGTTTACTGAAGGGGCTGAATGTTTTGAGCTTTGAGTCACCTACATCCGTGTTGGAATACACATTGTGGCATTTTTTGGCTTTGTGGTTTGGAGCAACATATTTAAGCCCTCTTAGCTTCAGTCTTCTCTTAAGAGCAGGGCAATAATAGCAATCTTATTGGGTTATGGTCAGGATCAGTGAGATAATATATAAAAAAATATTGGCTTACAATGCAGCAAATGCTTCCTATTTGTAGTAAAAATTATAAATGAAAATTATCAATGTCAATAAAAACAAGAGAAACTTGGTGAATTCAATGGAAACCACCACTGATGAGCCTTAGCTCAAAACTCTGAGAGGGATCTCTTTTGAGAAGGCAGACGGCACCTCCAGGCAGGACCTCTATGACAGAATGGCATTCCAACAGTGCATCGGAGGAAGCAGGACTCTTAATCTGGCCATTTGAAACAGTTCTCAATATCAAAATAGACAGTTGGAAGTTTTACAATAAACTCTTCTAAAAAATAGCTTTGAGTTAGTAAGAGGATATTCATTTCCTTAGATAATGTGATATTTTGCTAAAACTGATATCCATTCACTTGCAAATTTTTTTATTGAAAAGGCACAATTAGCTTATTTAATCTTACCTAAAAGAAGCTAACAAAATTCTATTCCCAACACTATCACATGCACCATTTACGTCTCAGGATCCAGGAAAAAGTTGAAATTCAGAAGTACAGATACAAAGCCTAGGAAGGAAACGTAACTAAGGTACAAAGAATGTACCTCCAAAAGGATTCTGTCTGACCACATTTATCACAAGATCCCCAAAGCTTCCAAATATTTACTTAAGTCAAGTGTATTTATTTGTTCAAAAGCTAAAACAAGATCCCCTTGGTAATGCTTGGATTAAGTGTTTCATTCAAAATGCTTGGAAATGATAAGATGTGTGCTGCCTCTCTCATATGGCAAAGGTAATCAGTTTATACAGACAAATTTGCTGTCTACCAGCAATTACCAAGACGAGATGGCCCACAGGTGATTTCTCCAGCTTCAGCCCCGAATACTGCAGAAGCTGATATTACCTCTTGGATTTTCCAAACTCTCAAGTGCTCTAGCCAAAGCAAACTAAGGATAGGACATTTTAGTCTCAGCTTCTTGGCTTCTCTACTGGCCGCACATGCCCCTGCTATGGCTCTGCAATTCTGGATGTTGATCATAACCAGAAACGCTACCCTTTTCATAGAAATATCCACCAACAGGAAATTAGTGTCTTGAGGAATCCTTACTGCCATTGTAGAAGCATCAACATTCTTGCCTAGATTCTCAACATCATTATTTTCTTATAGGCCATGTTGTTTGGGGTAGGGGAAGGGATGGAAACAAACATGAACCTTTATCAGTGCCTTGGTCTGACTACTATATTTTCACTGGTGTGAGATGCTTCAGGAGTCGTAGTCACAGAATACAGCACCCAGATTATATTTAAGACCACTGCCATTAGGACCATAGGGCCTTAAGTGACAAGTCAATCAAACGGTCTAACTTTGGGATAACCAGCCAAGAGACAGTTGCATTTAATTATAAATAATTTCAACCCATAGTCATGTTTTTCACTGAGACCAAATACTAAAACTGCAGGAAGGTATGTACATTACTAACTGTTCAAAATTAAGCAAAACCAAATACCAAAAGCTTAGTGTGTTACAGTGTGTGGCAAATATTCAAGCTCTTATCATGTAATGCCATGACATTTCTTAAAAGAGTCAGCAAATGGATCAAGTTCAATTTAATTCAACCAACCTTATTGTGTCCTAGGCACTTGGGCTCCAAACATAAGAACCACTGAGGCTGAGGTTATAGGATTATGAAAAGCAGACTGAGGGTGAATTGGAAGTGCATCCTGTATCAACGAGAGACCTTTTCAAATAACATTGAATAGCAGCATATGCTTTTCAAAAGAATTTTAAGAACTCAGAAATTATTAAAATTAAACATATCAATCTTTGAAAGCATCTCTTGACTCAAATATGTGATGATTTGAGACTCTAGGCACGTGTTCAAAGTAAGATCAATTTTCTGGAGTTCTTCCTGTCATACATTTAATACAAATTTAATAATATATTTATTCAACTCACTTTGTGTTACCTATAAGCTTGTAGTAAGTGAGAACTCCATTAAAATCTGCACTTGGAATTGCCCTTAAACTTTACAAAGTTAGGAAATTAGGAGAGTTATTTCTTCCTCTGCATTTTGATAGAGATTCAGGTTTGCGTTTCACAGCCAACCCACCTGGAAACTAATGCTTAGAGCTCAAATATCCCCATGTCCCAGACCCCAAATCTAGAAAAAAACAGTCCCATGATCTCTTCTGATACGAGAGGTGAGCTCCTTCCTTCTCCCCCAAGTTCCAGAAACTAAGTAAATCTCTGATCCATTCATGTCCACGAGTTCCTCATACTCCTGAAGACAACAAAAAACTCTATGGCAATAGATTAAAATATTCCTAGAGAGTATTACTAGGTCTGAGATAATGCAAGAGGTTTATTATTTACCTGTAAAAAGCAAGTTAAGAGTCAAATAGAACCAATATGAAGTAAGGAAGGTAGAAGAGAGCTTACTCATTTTTATCATTCTACCATTTGAATTATTTGGCACCACACTTTGCTGACACTCAGAGGAAATGGTTGGCATTACTGTGCTTTATACAAAGAGATTATCTCTAAAAAGTGCTCGGATGTTTTGTAGAGCAGATAGTAATCTATTCAAACTTGCAAAGGTTCTATATACTATCAGACTACAACCAGGACCTACCAAAACCACAGTTGAGTGCAAGCAGCCACACTAGATAGTTTTCCGGCTGTTTCAGGTAAACCTCTGCAATTGTGGAAACAACACAGAACAGTCCTATGCTAATATAAAAATTGTCTAATACTAATCATAACAGCCCACAACATTTCAATGTAAGCACAGATATGTTTATATTTTTCAGATGGTGTTGTCTTCAGTTTTGGTTTTGAAAGAACGGCAATATTAAGTATATCTCATGAGAGGGGAAGCTCACAATTTTTGCAGTAACTGAATTTACCTCTGAACACCTCAATGGTTGCACTTCTCAACGATTTGTTGTCATTCAAAGCTACTTATGAATCAAATATAGTTCTCTTCTCATGCCACAATCACGTGCATGAAATCTAAATCAGTATAGTTGAAATAAAAAGGTTTATTACTTCACTTCCAACTAATAACATCGCATTCTTAGTGATATATACATTGCCTATAAAGAAAAATGTGTATTTGTTTTATGATTTCAGAAAAGGAGCACAGAGGTTCTTTTGGAAACTGAGGAAAATTCATCTCAGTATTGTAACATGCCCAGTACTAAGAAGGCTTAGCAGCAAAAATCTTCCAGGAAAAGATGATTTTAACCATTGCCTACAACCTCCTTCTTCTTACCTTGCAATTTGATTTTTGAAAGAACCTAAGTCTTGATAACAGGCTACCATATTTGCTTTCAAGTCTCTTAAAAGAAATTTCTGTGGCTTTGCTTCAAATACATAAATGTTTTACTTAATTAGCATTTACCCACTGATGTCATAAAATGTTCAGTGAATACGCAGGATTACAAAGTACCAAATGAAAATGAGAAGAGGAGTGGTACAAACTGAGGGAGACACAAGAAGATAAAGGGAAGAAATAAAGGAAACAAGTATTTTCCTCAGAGTCTGGGTAAAACTGAACATAGTCACGTCTAAGATGCAGAGATACTTTTCACATGCCATGTCCGGTTATGGACATAATGTCACCACCCCACACTGCTATGACACCAAAACAACCAAGCCTAGAGACCAGTCGGTGCCTCTTTTGGTCTGCAAGTGACTGGACAGACTTGGCTTCCCCAGATGTCCCCAGTTCTGAGATAAGAAGGCCCAGGTACAGTTGTAGACAGGCACATGGACCCCTCAAAGGAGCTCCCATCAGAGGTATACCTGTGGATCCCACTGGTTTTTGAGTGACATTTTAGAGCTCTTACTCTCTCAAAATAAGAAAATGCAATTTGCATGAAGTTCCCATTATACAGCATAGTATTGAGATGCAGTATTAATTTCTATCGTTTTCCTAGCAGAATAGTACATACGACTTTCTCTTGCTATGGTCAAGACAACAGGCTTTGAAATCAGTGGACACTATAGTCCAAGGAGTCTGACTACCAGAGACTTCCAAAGGAGAAGAGTTCCCGTCTATAAGCTGAATTTGGATGAAATGCTCAGTCTGGTGTTTCAGAATGCCTATTCCTTATCTGCCGACACTTTGAGGTGTTTCTGTTGGTTGGTTGGTTGGTTACTTGGTTGGTTTGGGGGTTTTTGTGGTTGTTGTTGGCTTATTTGTTGTTGCTGTTCAAAATTTTTTACTTTTCCATGGGATATTTGTCATCACACAGGTGCATGTTCCTCTGTTTTCTCTCCGGAATGGATTTCTCCTTGTAATGTCCAGTGTAGGAGGTTGTCATCTCCAGAATAAAGTGGAAAATTGAGACATATCTTTGTTCATAGCTTGACATCATGATGGGCCACCTACCTTCCCCATTTCTCCGAAAAATAGTCCCCTTCTCTGCATCATTTTGACTTTAGAACCAGTCAGAATCCAATCTCCAGTGTCCTGACTAGCACAAGAAACCTATCAGCTGATTCTTGTTCAGCTCTGCAGGTGGTAAACCTGATTCCTATTGCCTGCTCCTGCCTCCTCAGGGGTTCATTCAGAAAACAGAAAAATAACAAGGCCCTCCAGTTACTCTCTTTGGCTGTGAGACAATTTGTTCCCATCTGCCCCCAGGCTCACCCTGCGCTCTGACACAGGGGGAAGCTGCTACTGATCATTGCTGTATTAACTCAAAACTCATTAGGTTTATGGAAATTCATGGCCCTTATTTCTCAAGGGAACAGAGAAAACCAATAGGCCTCCTACCCAGCCGAGCACTTTCCATGCAAGCTGCTGCATCTATATAAATTAGGTCCAAATCACATCAGGCTATTTTCAGGGTTTGTAAACTCAATATTGCGAATAGTAGAACCTGGCAAGTGTTCAGCAAGTAGTCCCCTTGCTGCCTGTGAATCAATCACATAACTTCTCCATGGATTGGGGAAAAATAAGGACAGTAAGAAAAACTTGCGTTTACAGGAACAACTGCCCAATGATTTTTGTTTGTTTGTTTTAATAAACTTTGACCATTTACTAGGGAGAGAGTGGGGGTGGAGTCAATCCTGATTACGTGATTCTTTTTTCACTTTTATTATTAAATCCTTCCTTCTTTAAGAATGAACGAAATCTTATCATAACCAAATTGTACAATACAATTCCTAATAATGGTTCTGATCCATTTATTTTTAAGTAATGTTCACTACAATAAAATTCCAGTGAAATCTAAGAATTGGGACAGTCCACTGAAGTTACTTGCACCAGGAGGTAGCTTGGCTGGTATGTATGGATATGCACATAAAAATATGAGGATCTCTTTTAAAGTATCATTTTCTCATAACAAGTCTGAAGCTTCCAGTAGGAAATTGGGAGATCAATTTGATTAGTTCTCTTATTGATCCTGAAGCAATCATGTTGAGTGTTCTCTGACTGGCTGGTTTCTCACTTAGAGACAGCTGGCAACTGAGCAACTAAGGACACCATGAGGAAAAAGGCTGCCTTGTACTTCATGCAGAGCTCAGGGAGATGAGAGGGGAATCAGTAAATGGTGACTGCCTGGTAACAGCCCTGCTATTTCTGACATAAATTTAAAACTACGAGTGCTTCCTCTAACTCTGTTTTTGCATAGTGCACAGATATCTTTGTAAATAATAGGAAATTAATATTAGGTTGTATCTATAAACAAAGTCAATTCGACTCCATTATTTTAAAGAGAATAGTTTTGACCTACATCTGTATTTTACAATATTTTGAAGTCTAAGAAGCTCACATCAACATTACATAATATAGGAGACTCTCACATACAAAATAATTTGTATTTATACAAGTATAATTTGAGAAAATCCATAATGGAAAATCTAAAATGTCAATAATACTTTTAGGTGTGTATTTTATTTCTCATAAGAACATATATATTCATTTGAAAAATGGTTCTGTACATAGTCTCAAACATATTTATTTAGTTCATGGCCTGATAAACACGTGACTTCCCAAAGTACTGAAAGTAGCTGTATAGCCTCTCAAGGATCTGGGGACCCTGTGATTCTTAAAATGACCAGTTTGGCTGAAGTTTCTGTTATCAATCAGGTGCTTTGTCTTATATAGTATACTTTAAAATAGCTACCACCAACACACACACACACACACACACACCCCATAGCAAAATGGAACCATGGAAATTACATGGTAATTGTAATCAAAATAGAAAGCAACCTATAAAATAAAATTTCTCAAGAATTTAGCTCCTCATTTGAAAGTCTAGAATCAATAAATTACTTGCAAACTTTTTTATATTTATACTCTGGAAATAAACTTAAAGTGAAAATTAGAAACTGCTTCCAACTATACATTCTCTGGTTAAATCTTAATTTGAACTTCAAATTATAGTATTGTCTCCAACCAAACCATCAGTTTCACTGAGAAGTTGGAATGGTCATAAATCCTGAATCTGTAAAATTCAGTGCTACAATCTACGATTTAATACTCCCACCATAAAAATTTCTGCTATGAATATCAGAACATAAATTCCCATTAATGAAAGTTAAATTAGAAACATTAGCATATATATTCCCAGTATATGGGATTCCCACTATATTGGAATATATATCAATAAAAATGGAATATATAAAGGAAATGTATATACTGATATAAGCTTACTTATATATTTATATTGATATATAAATTCCCATTAATTTAATGGGAATTAAAGAAGAAATGCCAGTTTGCACTAATTCATTCTTCCCTTGGCAATACATTTTTTGAACTTTTCATCTACTTAATAATTCAGGAAACTTAAAATGACAAGTGATTTTGTTGTTTGCATTTTGTTCTGGTAAATGAAAAAAGAAACCATTTTGCAAGTGGGCTTTTAAAAAAAGGAAATTGAAAAATCTGCTCTATCAAATGTAGCAAGTAGGTAAGTTTTTTAAAAAAGTGTGAATCTAAACATCAGGTTCTCTGTCACTTGTCATAAATTTTTTGTAACATTAATGACACATTTTCGCTTTTCAAAGATAATTTCCATTAGAAAGGAGAAGCTATGCTCCATGTTTTTAATTACATTTGAAATTCACTAAAAACACTTAGTCTAAAAAAATGCCCATAATGTTTCTGTGGGAAAAATCAAAATATTATAAAGAATATGTTTCATTAAATGAGATTCTCTGTGGTTGACTTAGTTCAAATATTTTTAAACAGATTCTTGCCCCAAAACTACTTTTCTCCCCAGCAACAGAAATGGCAGCAGAATTGCTACTTGTTTTTTCTGTATCTTGAAGTCACACTTCACATAAGCAATCAGCTCCCTACGCGTTGCTCTCATTCTAGTGGTTCCGATTCAGGGGTCTAGAAAAAGAGCTGAGCTCATCATTTTCTTGAAAGTGTTGGAGTTGAAAGGAAAGAAACAAATCTGCTGCTCTGTCTAAGGCTTCAGCTACCATGCAGCAGGCAAGCATCTAAAGAGCACGTAGAAATACCAACCGGTATCATAAAAAGAAAGTCTAGAATAGTTTATGTTTTACAGATTTTTGTATCCAAGTAAATGAAAACATAACTACCATCTTTTGAAATATACTGGGAATTTTTAAGACCGTCCCTCATACCTTCCTTTACCACAATAAGTCAAAAATATTTGCCTGATATCTGCATTTCACCTATGTGCCCCCGGAAGGGAAATAGAAACAAATGAATATTTTGTTGGTTATGGTAATTCACAAAGAGGAACGTTTAAAAATATACAACATCCTTTTCACTTTGATGATCTGATTATTTTTCTTTAGTTTTTTGGTTCTAATTAGTGTATTATTGCCATCATACTGTCTTTTTCTCTTTTGAAAAATAAATATTTTCACTTGCAGTAAAGACTAAGCTATCATTTCATACTTTATGCACATTTCCAGGTAAGACAGGATGTTCAGCCGTGGCTTTCAAAAGAATGAGCTGCCGAATCACTATGGCCTCGTGCAGATCAAAATGTTGACTCATACATGCAACAGTGGAGCGTATCACTAAATTATTTTTACGTTATTCTTATTTGACTGTTTAAGGTAGTTGTATGTAAAAATATAAACTTTTGCATTGTATTATTCTTGTGTCAGAATATATAAACATTTTGGGCTATATTGTGATTTTCTTGCATGTAATGTACAATGATATATATGACTAATAAAGAAAACCTGAAGTGATACAAATGTAGATTTTGCTCTTCTCTTTCTCATTCACACATGATAACCGATCTGTTTAAAAAGAATATTCTTCAAGTAAATTTTGCAATGTAGATAAGAAGGCTAAGAATCAGTACTAAATTCAACACTTTGAAGTACTGAGTAAGTACTTCAAAATGAATGAAAAAAGTGGGTTTTTTCTCTTCATGACTTATTTCTATTTTTAGAACCAAAGTGACCTAAACCTGACTTCACAACTCCTTCAGCTAGAGCTGCCAGCCAAACTACACAGAGAAAAGAATCCTCGGCTGTAAAGTCTGTAGCTGAAAATAAACGTAGCTAGACTCACTTCCAGTCTGCTACTTAAAAGTGAATTTGGTATCTTAAGCAGTGAAATTCTTTGAAAGAAACAAGAAGTTCAATAGGGTGAAATTTAGAGCACACTTTAACTCGTTAGGTATGATTTTTTGAATATGGAAGCGGTCTTGATACCAGAACACTTTGTGAGAAGAAACGGTTATTGCAAAATAACATTAGCTAACTCTAGATTGCATATTAAAAAGACATAAATATGAACCTTTTGAAAGGAAAAAGCTACGCCCAAATTCCAATACATGCAAATATCTTCTCTGCATAACATGACTAGGAGAAACTTCCTGAAGCACAGCTTTGTTCTTCCGCTGTTCTAAACCTTTGATTGGTGTTCCATTACTTAACAATTAAAGTCCAATTCCTTCACAGGACATCCAAGGACCTTAATACTTGGTGTGAATATACCACAATTTAATCATCCATCCTGCTACTGCTGGACGGTTGGGTTGTTTCTAGTCTTAGGCTACTGGAAACAATGCTAGCATATACATATCTTCTGGTGCTCAAATACATGCATTTCTCTCCAGTAAATACCTGGGGATGGAATTACTTGGTAAATAAATACCAAATGGTTTTCTAAAGTGACTTTACAAATTTATTCTCCTGCCAGCAGTGTGTAAGAGAGTTCCAATGCTACAAATCCTTGCCAACATTTCATAGTCAGTTTTTAACAATTTTAGCCATCTTAGTGGTATACAGTGGGTATCTTATTATGGGTTTAATTGCACTTCTCTGATAGTTATTATGTTGAGCATCTTAGCATATCCTCATCAGCATTTGGAAATTCTCTTGTGAAATGATTGCATAGCTTTTTGCCTGTTCTTTATTGAGTTGTATGTCATTTTCTGTTGACTCACAACTCTTGGCTACAAGTCCTTTGTTGGATATGTATTGAAAATATCTTTTTCCACTCTATGGTTTGACTTTTTACTCGTTCACAGGCATATTTGGATCAATGAAAGTTCTAGATTTTAATATACGATCATGCACTGCAGAACAACGTTTCAGTCAACGACGGGCCACATATATACAATGGTGGTCCCATAAGATTAGTACCATACAGCCTAGGTGTGTAGTAGGCTATACCACCTGTGTTTGCATAAGTACACTCTGTGATGTTCGTGCAACAACAAAATTGCCAAATGATGCATTTCTCAGAATGTATCTCAGTTGTTAAGCAACACACAACTGTAGTCTAATTTATCAATGACAGTGGTTTTTATGTCCTGTTTAAGACATCTTTGCCTACTACAAAGTGAAGAAGATATCCTCTCATGTTTTCTTCTAGAAGCTTTTACCTTTCGTAGTCTACAATCCATCTGAAAATTATTTACGTGTATGATAGAGAGTAGGTGAAATACTCACTGCTGTTTCCCTATGGACATTCAATTGACCCACAATACTTATTGAAGACTCTCTCCCCTCTGCATTGCAGTATACCTATGCTATTATTCGGGTACCCTTACATGCAAGGGTCTGTTTCTATTCAATATGTTCCATTGGTCTAGAGACACTGCTTTGGACAATATAACCTTACAATTAGTCTTCCCTATCTAGGAGCATAAGGTCTCCATCTTCCTTCTTTGTCTTCAAGGTTGACTTTGCTATTTTTGGCCCTTTATGTTTCCATATAAATTTTAGAATCAGCTTGTTGACTTCTACAGAAAAGGCCAAAGGGATTTTGATTAATATACAGTGTTGCCTGCTGGGAATGGCCTATGACCAGGGCATAGGGTTTGAGAGTTGAATGACGGAAGAAGCTTTATGTCTGGCCAAAGCCAAAGTTTAAGGACCTTGAATGTTATTTAGGGAATGTATACTTTATTCAATGACCAATGGGGAACGTCAGAGATCTTTAAGTAGGGAAGTCAGATGACTTGATTTGTATTTTTGAAAGGTCACAAGGAAGCAGCATCCATGCCCAACTCCAACCACCTAAATTCCTAGATACCTACCTTAAAAGTAGGGTTATGTTCTTACCCATGTACTGGGAAATAAGTTATTCCTTCAGGAACCTGAAAGAAGAGTTGTTTCATGCCTTGGGTGGTGGGAGAGAGGCCCCTCCATGTATTAGAGTAAACTCAGCCAGCAATGTGCTCCTTTCTGATACACCAGCATTCAATCCAAGCCTTGGTTTGAGAGGCAGTTTATGTCTGCAGGGAAGACACGGAGCTCTCTGGGATGCTGAGATGATGAGAGCAGATACAATGGCTCTGGTACTGGAGTTGTGCCCAAATTACCCATCCTCTCGCCAACATCATCCTTTCCTCTTCCTCTAACCCCCAGGCTGAGGTAGGGAACACACTCAGCACCAAAAGTGTTGCAGACATAATACATCCAGAAGACACATTATGTACAATAAAACACACACAAAATAGCAACTTGTTAAAAGATATTCAAACCATGACTCAGACTTCTTCCCCTCCATTTTCTGACCCAGACAGCAGGAGCAATCAGCAGTTCAACAAAAGTACAGACAGTTCTCTTCCAGAAGCTGGCTGGCTGAGCAGCTTATTTAAAAATTCATATGCATTTTTGGGACAAGAGTCAAAGAAAAACACTCCCCAGAAGAGGAAATTGGAGTAGTAATTAAACCACTTATCAAATCACGCATTTCCCATGGGGTCATGAGCCTTCCAGGGGTAGTCTGATGGCCACCTGAGCCTTGGACCATTTCCGTAGGTCAAATCTGTAGTCCACATCCTGACAAAGCTTTGTTCACTGTATGTAACATGGAATTAATTGGAGATGTCCTTTACAAAATTAAAATATACCAGAATAACCAGAAGTCTATGAGGATAGATATCTTCCACTATTAAGTCTGTATACCTATCCTAAGGAATATTGATAGACTTAATCTCTGTCCAGATCCAGGGGGAACTTTAGCTATTTTTTAAATTCTGTCTTCTCCTTAGTGACAGGCTCCATGACCAGCATATGAAAGACTTGGATCAGCCGCAATAGCCAACCTCTCTGAGCTACCTAGGCCTCATATCCAGGCCTCCAGAGCCTCTCGGCCTTGGCAGGGAGACATGGAGGCTCCCAAGGAATGAAAGCAATAGTGTGGGCTCCATTCAAAATTTTCCTAGCACAGCCTGATACCGGCAGCAGTGCCCAAGATTTCCCACTGATACTAGACATGTGTTTCCTTAGAGGAAGATCAAAGCCGACATACTGAAAACACCAAGATAGAAAATGGAAAGATTTTGATATTTGATATTCCTAGAGAAGCACCAAGATAGTCATCACAGAAAAACTCAACACCTTGCTGAACTTTCTGTAATGCTGAATAGTTTCACTATTTTGATTTGCATATGGAGGATGGGGAACCATTAGCTTTTGAGTGTTTAGGACCTATAAAGACATAATTCAGCTCTGCCCAACCAGAATGCCCTAGACATCATATCCCAGAGAGAACTGGTTGGTCACATGGAAATGGCTGAATAAATTTGTTGAGTCCTGTCTATCATAAAAGAAGGAGAAAGGATGTCAAAGGGATCACATGTACAATCCTATTTGTGTCACAACCTGTACCTAGGGCTGATTTCCTAGGCTGCCCTTTCTCCATCTCTCCCACCTCTCTCATTCCTGACTACACCAGGGCTCCATTCTGAGGATAATATTTAATACAAAAAATACTACACCTGGGGCTGGCCTGTGGAGTAGTGGTTAAGTTCAGCACACTCTGATCCTGGTTTGGATCCCAGACGCAGATCTACACCACTTGTCAGCCTTGCTGCGGCAGTGACCCACATATAAAGTGGAGGAAGATTGGCAAACATGTTAGCTCAAGGCTAATCTTCCTCAAGCAAAAAAAGAAGAAGATTGGCAACAGATGTTGGCTCAGAGCTAATCATCCTCAGCAGAAAAATACTATGCCCAAGGTAGAAATAATGTAGAGATGTTAGATATAGCCAAGTGATTCTGCAGGCCGAGCTCATCTAGATCTCTCATGCCCACCTTATACTCCCTCTCTAGAATGGCTAGGGGACCTCATGGCCCACCTAAACTTTTAGACCCTCAGCCCCCTTCCTGAGCTCTCATCCCCCACTGGCCCAGCATCCCCGTAGACCGTGGCCAAGTCACATTCTGAAATGCAGGTACAACAAATATTCATAGCTCTTTAAGTTCAAATACACGGGAAGCGCAATGAAAACCAGTAGCTACTTCCCATAATCCACCCATAAGATGTGGATGGAGCTGGGCTTTGAAGGGATTCCAACCTGTTTGCTTGCAATGGGAAGGCAAAAGAGCGAGGCAAGCTGAGTAGTAGGTAGCTGCCCACACCTACTTGCCCAGAAAAATCTCCAGCACTCATTGGGAATATAAAGTGCCTTTGAAAGACACTCACATTATAACCCTTTTAATGATAATAAAGACATTAAGAAGGATGTTGGGAATATGCATCAAGTGCAAACTATTTGTAGATGTCCCACTAAGTGCTTTACAATTGTTATCTCACTTAATCCTCACAACAACCTTGTCAGGCGGTGCTAGTGCTGTCCCATTTTACAGATGAGCAAATCAAGACAGAGAGATGACACTCCTCATAGTAACCCAGGTACTAAGTTATTTCAAAACCATGCTCTTAATTTCCACATGATACTATGTCTTTCAAAAATTATTTCCCAAGCGTATAGGCGACGTAAAATACAAAGAGAAGTCCATGGTTGGAAAAATAAAGCTAGAGTTGGGCTTCTGATAAAGAGAAGATCACAGCTACCTACAATAATGAAAAGAAAGGATAAGATAAGAGCGTAATTATAATTTAAAACATATCTGAATATGCTTTTTTCGTGTGGCGTGCCTTGTACAAGATTAACAAATTATTTTATGGGTAAACAAAGAGATAAATCTTTATATACT